TACAATAGCGACGATTATTATTTTAAAAAATTTTTGTTAGGCTTAACATCGATGAAAATTCAACGCAAAATAGGTTAATAGCGATATACTAATATACTAATTACATGGGATATAATAATATACTACACTAATAATGGATTTTTTCATACTTTTCGGTTATCCGACTTTTCAATTATCCGACCAACCCCAGTCCCCAATTAGGGCGGATAATCGAGGTTCTACTGTATGATTAAAATACTAAAGTGGGAGGGCATCAAAATTATCAAACTTTTACAAAGCAGATACATCCTCAGACACGTGGAAGACCTTTATAAATCTACATAGCAGAGGAAATCTATAAACTTTAAAGACTAGGACACACACTGATTTGTTGGGATCACAGTTTCCAATCCCAACAAATCAGAACCATATTTAGATTGTATTATATATATTTATTTTATATTAATTAATATTATTTTAATTAAAACGAAAAATATTATTAGCTTTTAATTTTTTTAGCTTATAATTTGGGTAGTTAAAACTACCCAAATTATATAAAAACATTTATTTTTCGTTATCAATTTTTGTCTGTTTTCCTAACTCTACAAAATTAAATTTGTGTGCTGTTATGATACCGATTTAATGTGTTATCTCAGTTTTAATTCATGTTTAAATTTTTAATAATAATAATAATTATTATTATTAAAAAATAAATAATAAATTTTATTATTTTTTTACATTTACACGTATGCAGTACAACGTTACATATAAAGATATTCATTAATAAGCTGAGTTTTTATAAAAACAGGAATAATTTAAGAAAAAAATTTCTCTTGTTTAATTAATTACTTTTCAATATTTCTTTTAGAAAGTTCTTAAATGAATGTTAAAACTTTTTGATATTTGAAAATTATGAATGAAACGTGCCAATTTTTTCAGAGATCTTCATAATAACAGAATTGAGTTCATCCATCCGGAAGCATTTTCTTCATTCAACGATCTCAGAGACCTGTAAGTGATTTACGATTCTTTTTCTCATAAACTAAACTGTTTAAACTATTATATATAAATCGTTCAAAAATAATAAATTTCTTGTCACTTTTAATTAATGTACAGTACATATTTCAAAAAAGTCAATTGACTTGTAACTTGCCTCAAAAAATATATAAATAATATAAAACAAAATTTAAAAATGGTATAACAAAATATTTTATGCTTTAATTCTTTCTGATAATTAAAAATATTTATGATTATAGAAACTTAAACAATTAAATAATAATTAAAAAATTATATTTAAAACTATATTTTTCTGTTTGATTGTGAACTGGAAGAAGAATGTTTTGTCCGTTCGATACAAGTTCGAAAACTTCTTACCAGCATTCGGCATCATTACGAAATAATAAATGGAAATTTTATATTTAATTATTCAGAATTTACTGTTAAATCGATATTAGGTTTCATATTTTCTTATCTTCTGATAATTTATTACACTACATTTGTTTCGTAATATCATTTCTATGATAAATATACTAATTTCTACGAGAGCATTTCCTCGAAAATAAATAGCGTCATTTAATAAGCAAAAATGTATTCAATTTTTATAAAATATTAAACTATTTCAATTTATTTTAATAAGTGATTAAGTCAGAAATTTCGTTATTTAAGAAACTTTGTTCTCGACGTAGCTTAAATTGGCACACCAAGTATTGACTGGTTCCATCGATTATACATTATAATAATAATATTAGAAATGATTAATTATCACGCGATAACAAAATAATACTTTCATAATATTTTTTAGGTTTTTAGAAAATTTAGGTTTAATTTAAAATAACTTTTTTTTTATTAAAACAAATATAGATCGAACGTATAACAAGTTAGTTGTATACCTCTCTGGTTTCTTTTCAGTCTCAATTATTTTTGCTACTTTAGAGAAATATTTATATATTCAGGAGATAAAACTTGCACCTTTTCTTTGCTGTTACCTTCAGATTTTTTGATAGGACTATAAGCTCTTAGTCTTGATTTAGCAAAGCAGATTATCATTTTATCTATGAACTAAAAACCTTTGTGACACAAAGTTCAAACATTGCGTTGTTCTTATAAGAGCAGAAAAAATGGGCTACTGATTGAGAAACAAAGAATCAAAAGTTTGGAGTTTTGTCATCATGTTTGTGTAGTTGTTAGTAGTTCTTAGATAAGAACAGTTAGAATAGGACTATATGAAAAACACTGAGATTTTTATATCTAAATATGACCTTATGAAATGTATCATATTCTGAATAATAAGTAATGGTTTTTTTTAAAAGACATTACTGTACTTTCGGAATGATCCCTTACACTACATGGGTGTCCGCAGAATGAGTAAACGGGGCACTTTGTCTCCTGGGATCGAATAAAAAGTTCCGCAAATTATAATTGTAAAAATGATTGAGATATGTAAGCTTACACCCTCAATTATAGGACGCTTTGTCTGTCTTTTTGAATTAATGCAATACTGTGTTCTATAATATACTTGTGAAAAAAACCTCAAAAATTAAATAATTAAATAAATATTACTTGTCTCAAAGCTTCGCCCCTGGAAAATTATCTGTGGACACCCAAGACACCGTTTATAAAATTTAAATATTTTTTTCTAAATTAATAAATTTATCATTATCAGAGCAATATAAAATATTTGAAATTGAAAAATTAGAATCACTACAGGCAGACTTTCATCACAAATGTAACATGACAAGAATTTATTATATATTAAGGTATTGAGTTTGACAGTTTTTAACAGCAAATAATAACATAAAATATTTCAATTAGGAAAAAATATACATAATATATTTTAAAATAACTATTAATACATTAATTATTTAAAAAGAAAAAATCGTAGATGCGATAAATGTTCTCATCTTGTCAATAAGACAGGATGAAAACAAGATATAAAAATGTTAATAAATTTCGCTTTTGATGTCAGATAATTTCAATTATCAGTTGTTTCATTAAATGAACGTAATTAAATGTTACGAATATTTGATATTAAAAGACCTTCATTACATAGACTAAGATTTCTCCTGATGTTTTCTCTTATCGCTCCCTTTCTAAAATTAGATTTAAACATAAATCAAAATTTAAAGTTGTATTTTACTTCAATAAAATCTAAAGATTTATCAATTGTTATTTTTATGTATTTTTAAACGTAATAAAAATAAATTTCTTCACCGACCTCCAAACGACCCTTATTATCGACCCCCAGATAAATCCATTAACTAAAATTCTTAATTTGCGCTTGAACACAACACTCACAATTGCATATATCGAGAGGAGAAAATGATGAAAATTATATTACGTACTATATAAATATATTTAGAAATATTTATTGTAAGGGTCTGATAAATCTTTCAGTACTTTTTATAATTTACTTTTAGTCTTCTTTAATACTGAATAATTCTTTGTTTTTTTTAAGGAACCTCGCTTATAATCAGTTTTCAGTGATTCCAACAAGCGGTCTCGAAAATTTAAGGCAACTGAAAACATTCAACAACAGGAATTTAAAGGAATTTCCGGCGCCCGAAATGTTTCCAAAAATTCATACTTTAGCTTTATCTTACGCCTATCATTGTTGTCCTTTTTTGCCATATGCACGAAAGCCAACTGCTTCATTGAAGGAGACAATCGTTTGGCTGACGAGAGAAGAACTAGATATGAAAGTCTGGAGTACAAATATCACAGACGTGTGGCCTGGATATGGTAAATACGAGATTACAATATTACAGAACAGAAACGTAATAATTAAATCGACTAAAAACAAAATTTTAAAACACTTCATTCTTATAATATTGGCCTTTTAAAAATGAGATTTCTAAAAAAAAATTGTTTTTAAACAGAGATTTACTAACATGAATTTCTTTCACTGTTTCTTTCAGATTACTTAAATAATATTAATCAGTAATTGGCTAATAATTATATCAATGCTTGTATTACAATCATAATTCATGTCGTTGAAGCATTGTTAAGTTTTTAAAATATTTTATTTGACTGGCTTGTCTATTGTCTCATTCTGAATCTATCAACAAGCTAATCTTCATGATCACTTTTATTGTACTTTCTAGACATTTTAGTTTAAAATGCTTTATTTAAAATGCTTATTATTTGTTAAAGTGATAAAAATATAGTCAGATTAATTAACTTAAAATTTACATTTAGAGAATTTCTCAAGTAAGTTTGAAGAGTTTGCTACACAGTTATGGAGTGCGTTTCGTAAGGATTATACAATTCCGGATAATTTAGCCACACAATACGTAGAAGAATATCCCGACGACAGTTTCGAGGACGAAAGTGGACAACTTGGAAGATATCCAATTCAGTGTTTGCCAGAACCAGGTGAACGGCAATTAATTATCTGTTGAAGAAATATTGTTTAAGACGTTGAAAAGAGAATTAATATTTTTTCTTTATAGGGCCTTTTATGCCATGCGAAGATTTATTTGGTTGGTGGACACTGAGATGTGGTATTTGGGTTGTATTTTTGCTTGCAATGCTAGGAAATGGATTAGTTGTAATTGTTTTATTATTTGGTCGAAGTAAAATGGATGTACCAAGATTTCTAGTGTGTAATCTCGCTATAGCTGATTTTATGATGGGAATTTATTTAGGAATTTTAGCCGTAGTCGATGCATCTACTCTTGGAGAATTTAAGGTATTTTTCAGTTTTAAGTTATTAATACATGTAGCGTATTTATCGTTTATGAGACTAGACAAAAACTATTTTTAACGTAAATATTTTTTAAGACGATGGTGTAATATTCTATAAAATGAAACCAATATAATGATGTAATCAGACTGATATTTATTAGTTCAAGTTATATAATACATAACATTGCATAAGTTTCGAATTACGCATATAAAATTAGGACCTTTCTAACTTGCTACCGAGACAATTAATTCAAATTTCGAACCTTATTCCACAAATTCGAGTATCTCATTTCCCCCTATTCTCCAAGTTTTCCATATTAAGAAAAAGAAATTTTCTAGCAGACTAACAAATCACTGTTATTTTTTGTTTTACTCTTTCTGCCCTGACTAAGACTTTTTTCAGGTCTGTCGTGAGTTCGGCTAAACCCAAATGGGACGGCCGGATGGTGAGGGCCCGACGGGGAGGACGGATCCCGACATATCCAAGACAGACCATCCCCAAAAAATTGGACTACCCGGTTCGTTCCCAGATCTCCCAGAAAATTATTGTTATTAATAATGCCAGAATTGGAAAAATTTGCTCACATTTTAAATTAAAACGAGCAATTATTTATTGTGACACCGTCACAATGCCGGGCTGCAATTTTTAATCATATTTTTAATTTATTTAATTTAAAATATATGTTCTACATCTCAAATTAGTATTGTCTTGCCTCTGTACATCATATTTTTCCTGATAACAACAGACATGCCGGTCATCTAAGTAAAACTGTTCTAGGGAAAAGTTTGAATTAAAATCACTTTCTGTGTAGCCCGAAAGTTTGTATATAGTTAATCTGCTGCCCCTAATCTCTCCATAAATGGTCTTGATTTTCGTCTATCTAACACCGTTCTCTAGATTAAGAAAGGACAGAAAGAAGACAGTGGAAATTTATAGATCTACAATTTTTCAAATTGCAAGCTCAATAATTACACAAAGATTTACAGTATTAAACGTTTAATTTGAATTAATAAATCTTATTAAAGTTAAAAATTTGTTTGAAAAAATCAGTTAGTCTAAATTCGCATCATTTAGGCCTATATTTCCCTCGCTTAACATAACTTTGTGTAATAAAAATTGAATTCATTATTATTTTTTTAAAAATATTATATTTAAGATAAACTTAATGAAAGTTATAGTGCTATTTTGAATTAACATCCTTAATGATTACAATATGAATATTGATGAATATAATTTGTAATCGTATACAATAATCATTTAAACAAACCAACATCCATTGTAGGCCTGATCGAACCCATGATGGAAATGAAAAAGTGCCCACAAGACAGAAAGCGTTAAAAAATGGGGGGGGGGAACAGTAAAGTTGAACATTGTAGCAAAAATATATTGACCGTATAGTGAGTGATGTGAGATAGAAAAACCGACAAGTTTACAATTTGCATTTTTTCTTAAAAAAAATATTATTTTAGATCATTTAAAAACAAAATTTTCCGTGATTATTTTTTCCATAATAATGTATATTACAATTTTAAAATACTTTTTAAAAATGATATTGCTTGTTTGTAGTGTAATTACTTGGAAAAATACGTTTTACTCGGTTGAGATTACCTGTAATAAGAGTATAACATAGTTTTAATTTGATTAATCAAAAGTACGGCTTTCTCATTGCAACTAGGCTTCGCTATTAACTAAGCTGAGCGTCAATAGGTAGCTATCAGCTTCCTATTGACGCTCGGCTTATAATTTACGGTTAGTTAACGTAAATATTTACAATAACAATAACTTTTTGAAATTTTTAGTCAATTATATTATGTATATATTGATACATACAGTAGAGCGTCGATTATCCGAAACAATTCGGGGCTGGGTTGTTCGGATAACTGATCATGTATGAAAAATATATTAATGTTGTTGTAAAGCGTTTTTTTTGTCTTATATTGATTATTTAAATGTTAGAAATATAAATAATTAATTGATTATTCATTAAAACTTGACGCAGTTATCTATTATAAATCGTATTTAAATTGTTAACTAGTATATCTATTGAAAAATAAATTATATTAGTATTAGAAGAGAGACTTTCTTTTCATAGGTATCTAACGTATTATCATATTTTTAATTTTACATCATAATAAAACAAGTCATAAAATAATTATGATTTATTTTATTATGATGTTATTAAAGTACAGAAAAAATTTAATAAAAATAATGATAATAACTTTATTATTTTTTAATGATTAAATAATAGTAATAAAATAATTGTATACTTTTCATGTATATGTCCTTTATTGTAATTTTTGTGTAGACTAATTAGTTTTTCTTCTTTGAAACTAAAACTTTTCCTTAAAAATTACTTATTTATTTAAATAATTTTTGATTATTTTACAGATTTATGCTGTCTATTGGCAAACATCAGCGGGCTGTCAGATAGCGGGATTTCTTGGTGTAATAAGTAGTGAATTGTCTGTCTTCACTTTAGCAGTCATTACACTTGAAAGAAATTATGCAATTACTAACGCTATGCATCTCAACAAAAGATTATCTTTGAAGCATGCCGGATATATAATGGCTTCGGGATGGTTCTTTGCTCTTGTTATGGCTATACTTCCCCTGTTAGGCATAAGTGATTACAGAAAATTTGCCATTTGCCTGCCTTTTGAAACAGAAGACGTTTTTTCTTTATCGTACGTTGTTTTTCTTATACTTATCAATGGTGTGGCATTTCTTATTCTGATGGGATGTTATTTTAAAATGTATTGGGTGATACGTGGATCTCAAGCTTGGAATTCAAATGATTCCAGAATTGCCAAGCGTATGGCTTTATTGGTATTCACGGACTTCATATGTTGGGCACCAATTGCATTTTTCTCATTGACTGCTGTTTTCGGTGTTCATTTAATTTCTCTAGAAGAAGCTAAAGTATTCACCATTTTTGTTTTGCCCTTAAACAGTTGTGCCAATCCATTTCTTTATGCTATTTTCACAAAACAATTTAAAAAAGATTGTGTATTAATATGTAAAAGGATTGAAGAGTCTAGAGTAACGAGAGGAATTGGTAGGTGTAGACATAGTTCAAATTTTTCAAATCGACACACTCCAGCTAATACAAATTCAGCTGCAGACAGAAAAAGTGGTGAACAACCTGTCTGTCAATGCGCAGTTGGAAGAAGGACTACAGAAGTTCCTAGTGGAATACGATCACGATCTCGTTCTTCGTGGCTCAAGTACTTGTTTTGCAACCAATCAAATGACGATGAAAGATCTGGAAGCGATTACACTTATGCAATTGCACAAATTCAAAGAAACCTTGAGGGAGATCATCATAAACGTACCTCTAGTATATCTAGTGAAAACTTTTCGTCTCGTTCTGATAGCTGGAGATACGGCATTGCGTTAAGATTATTAGAAAGAAATGGAAGAAGAAATTCATGGAGTAATAATACTCAAAAATCATCATCTCAAGATTCTCATACATCTTGCAGTCGGCAGGATTCATCTACTTCCACATTTCGTCTTTCGAGATCAAGTGTCAGTAGTGATACGTCAAGTTCTTTGGCAGGTCGAACTGCTTATACTCGAGATCGTCCACCACCCGCTAGAGCGGTTGTTAATGGAGAAACATCTCAAAGAATGTTGTCATTTCGATCGTCCGTTAAAGACAAACCTAAATTATGCAGACAAACAGCAGTACACGATTTGAACGGAGGAAAAACTTACGATTCCGCTCAAAGATCTCCACCTTCTACAGCAAGAATGTACGGTAACCTTTGCCCCACTTGCGCTAGAAAAGAGCCAGGTCCGTCATTAGTATTCAAAAATAAAGAACTTGAAGAAAAATTTACTTGTTTTTATAATCGTTTGGTTGAAACTAGTAATGAAGATAGCAGCGAGGCAACAACTTCTAAAGAAGAACAAGTTATATTTTCTAGTGATCAGTCTACAGAACCAAAACCTGAGAAAGATGATATAGAGTTAGAAAAAGTAACAAGCGATAATCCACAAATTCCAGTCGATATTACTGCTACTATTATCGAATCTCAAGCATCAGAAATATTAGACGAATTTCCTAACAACGACACTTTAAAAACACCTGACATAATGGAAAATAATAGACTTCATGTAAGTGCAGAAAATTCTCCAAATCCAAAATCGAGAAGTCTCACCTTCATCGGTTTTGTTCCACGACGCAAAGCAACATCGGACACATCACTAAAAAAAGTATCTCTTAGAAGTTTACCGACCATGTTTAGTTCTTTATCTAGTCATAAATTAATAGAAAGATCAGACCATGCTAAAGTAAGAAGCCATGGACAAATAGCGACTCAACCAAGATCTATCGATTATATTCCTTCCTCTAGAAGCGAACAGTTGCTTCCTCAGTTATCTCTAGATTGGTTTTCTCCACGAAATCAACATATTGCTGAAGACACGGAGTCCGAAGATGAGTGTATCGAAAGCAAACAGTTGAAAACTCAAGAAATCTGTGATCCTAGACTAATAAAACATTACACTGTCATTAATGCCAGTGAAGATGTTCCTCTCATCGACGAAGATGGACAAAAGCCCGTATCGGGAATGTAAAAATTCTTTAATGTTTATTTAAGAGAATTGGAATTACAAATATGTTCGTTTATTTAAAAGTGAGCTTGACCATAAATCAAAACTGATTTTTATCATTTATTTCATTTATAATATTTCATATAAATTACACGACAAATAACCGATTTATCGTCAAGCTTTCTTTAAAAATGAGAACATCGGAAGCAAATATTGTTATGATAACTTTTCTGCAACTTCGAAACATATATGACATTGATTTATTCGTCCAAAAGAATCTTCTTTAAATAAATGTAAAGATATAGTGCTACAATTAGAATGATTATAATCTGTAATAAAATTCAAATGAAAGTTGTTTCATCTTATTACTAAATAGATTCTTAAAATTTACAAAACTATTTGTTAACATTTATAAAAACAAAATGACTTTTACATTGTAAAGCAAAATGTATTCGAAAGCTAAGATTTTACTGTCTTTGTTGCAGAATTTTAAATTAGATCTTTATGGATTATTGCAAATAAATTGAAAATCGGATCAAAGAAATTCGGATGACTATTTCGATAAAATGTAGCACCAGCATACAATAGATAAAGTAAAATCATGTTTAATGTTACAAGTTTGGCTGGTCCTGGCAGTATTGAAAACGATCGGGAAGCGACATTCATGGAATCGAACTACTCGTGAAAATCTATAAATGTCCTGTTCGGATGTGAATCCGGTGTCTTATCGCGTAGCTGTCAAATGTAATAAAATTACTTTTTCCGTAAGGCCTAAGCAGATGAACAGAAAACATTTAATTATATAATTAAGTTGAATCCAAAAAGACCTCTCGATCGAACTGTAAAGTTATTGTTACTTAAGATGACCAAAAAAAAATTATAACTATAAATCAATGAACATTTTAATACAAAATCCGTGCACTAGTATTTTGGGTAGGCTTAAAGGTAAATTTTTTCGATCATAGATACGATCGAACCAACCGTAAAATCGTGGATTAATATAAATTTTATAGAAAATTAAATTTCTGTTTCTTTCGCACAAGCTTTTTTACGTGTTATATTTAATTTTTTAATTCTTTTAAATTATCTTATAAATTTTTCTGTAACGTTCAGGCGGAATAAATTAGTTTCAAGCAAACTTTCAAAATATTTCTAATTTAAAATTCTTCTTATAAATTTTATTTTATTATAATTGTGTAATACTAAAGGAGTTTGGTATGACTAAACGAAGACATTTGCAAGATTTACAATTAAATCTTTCAATCCAGTAACATTGGTTTAAGTGATCGATTTTGTTTATTGAAATAGTTCACAACCCCGAAATGATTCTAATTTGCAATCCCCGTACCTATTGCAATAATTTTATTTGTAGGAAATTTCATTTATTACCAAAGTTCAAGTTGGCAATAACGGAATGTAAGTTAGTAGGCTCGACTATAAATTGAAATCTGAAGTAAGCATTGCATCATCCTTGGCATTAGGAACGATGTTTCGCTGAAATTTTGATTTAATCAAAGTAGTTTTGGTAGGCCAGCTATAAAAATACAATATAATTTTATATATAACTAGTTAAATACTGAACGCTGATAGTTGGTTGTGGGTTCGTGCCTCGCAAACCCATGACCAACTACCAGCTAGCCACGTAAAGTTTTCCGTGTTTTCTTCATGTTTGGAACACTTAAATAGGAGCCAGTATCCCATAAAAAAACTTCCCGGGAGGCATTCCTTTCCAGCAGATCGCCCATGTGCCGCATTGCTGTAACCAAATAAACCAAAACTATTACACCTGCCAAAGTTTATAGATTGTTTTGAATTAGTATACTGAATTCTCTATGAAGAATCTAATGTGGAAAAACTAATATTTAATTGATGATTATAAAGTCAGTGGCACGTTTAGAATATGCAGGCGTCCCCAAACTAATAGCGCCACTTTTGCACGGAATGATTCTACTTTATAAATCCTTCGCCCCCTTCTTCTCCCTTTCGATATTTAATAACCTGCAAAAATTTAATTTTTGCGGATTTTTAAATATCGAAAGAGGCAAAGAGTACTGCTATTGAAAATCCTTCATTAGTACTACCATTCTGTTTTTAAAAAATTTATTCATATAGGCTATTAATACTGTTCGACAAATATCTCTTATTTTACTCCTATTTAAGCTTTTAATTTACACTAATTCCTTTACGAATTGTTTTTACGTGAAATTATTTTTTCATTATTTTATTGTTGTTACTGTTATTTTGAATTTTTGTGCCTCTAGGACCAGGCCTATAGGCCTATGGGAAATCCGCCACTGTATAAAGTGGCGTATACATTTTTATAAAAATAAAGTTTAACATAGAGAAGATTTCTATGAATACAAAACATAACATATTTATCAAGCAATAAATATGTTATCTCGAAGAATTTTAAATGAGAAAATTGACCTAATTAAATAATATTTCTGACGTAATTTGGGGCTTCTCCGATTTTAAACTCGACCATTTTGTTTCTTTCAGAGCAATTAAAAATATAAACTGTATACAATATACTAAAATAAACTGTTTTTAACTAGGCTATATTTTATACGCTTTTTATTAACTTACTCTGTTTTTTAGTCTGTTGCCTGTCTGTCTATGTAAAATATTGTAACTCAGTTTTCACCTAATTCCCAATTTCCGATCTAGTTGAAATTGTGTAACATATGTATTCTCGATGACAATACATTTTTTTCTTAGAGTTTACAAATTACAAAATTAGTAAATCTCACACAGTATAATACAGTATACGATTTATGTGAAAAAAGCAATTTCTTTAAATTTTTTAAAATATTTTTTTATTTGATTTAACTTTTATTTCATATACAGTATTACTATAGATGTATATTGTGTTATAAACAAATGTGCTTCCTTGTTCCCTGTACAATAAAATAATAATTTTCATTTAAAAATGGTCATTTATTAAAGAAATTGATTATGTATTGTACGTAATATATTAGAAAAAAATTGCAATAATTTCATATTGTCAGAAAGAGTAATGTTTCTAAGTGGGATATTTGGCTGATTGATTTGGTTTAATCCAACGGTTCCGAAATTATTAAATTAATGTGTTATTTCCTAGTTTTGTTGTTCTTACAATTCCGCTACGTAAATTTTTATACTTCATCTAAAAGTTTTGATGAACAAATTCAAGAATTAATTCAAAATATACAACTAATCGAATGTAAATAACATGGTACAAGCTTTCTAAATATGCATCTACATAAAAGTCAAAACCGATTTCTTATGTGTTTAATGTAATATATAAATGAGAATGTTTGCTTGTTTGTTCGCTATACACTCCTAGGCCGTTTGACTAATTTCTACGAAACTCGGAGGTTACGTTCAAATACTTCTAACTTAGATCATGCCGTACATCCACCCCAAAATATCAATTGCATTTCTATAAATCAATTGATTTTTACTTACATTCGATTTTCTGAGTTACACGTAGTGCCATCTATTCGCAAAAAAGTTAACAAAATATTAACTGACTATAATTCTTACAAAAAAGAATATAATTTTAAATATATATATTATATTTACTGAATTACTGTAATGATGATATAGCACAAAATAGATGCGCCATTACGCCATTACTGTTACAGGCAGCACATAGCACTTGCCTGCATGAAGTGTAGTAGTGTTTGCCCCTGTAAATCACACTTTTCCTGTTAGCAATGAAGTCGTACCGGTTACGTATCTAACTCCGTTCGGGAAAAAGTTTTCTTATTGAAATAACGTGACTCGCGGTACAAATCGAAAGTTCATATATACTGTAGGTAATCTAGTCCTTTTACGATTTCAATGTCTGGTCTCGACCTTCATCTATTTAACTCCATTCTCGAGATTAAGGAAGGACAGATAGATAGATGACAACAGTGAAAATTTATAGGTCTACAATTTTTTTCAAATTGCAACCTAATAAACGCAATATTTACGAGAACACACTTCCCGCATAGCTTATATAATATATTTCCGAAATTTTAAAAAATTTATCATCACATAAAAGTAATTATTCTAGTATTTTTGCAAGATTTTTTTATTATCTAAACATATCACACGAATTCTTTCGGACGTTAAATTCGTCTTTGAATATCGGAAGAGACACTTCTCATATTTACTTTACTATCGTAGCTCCGTCCACGCATATTTTCAATTTTTAGGCGTAACGATTCCAGTTTTGCAGTATTAATTAATTCAGTCAAACTAGATCCAGCAGTTAATTTCACAGGCAAAAAACACTCGCTAAAATATACGAGGGATGTTCAGGTCAATCCGGAACTTATGAATGTATAAAATAAAACTACAAAGTTTAAGGGGTGGAAACTGCATTTATTTTTCGACATAGTCCCTTGCTACATTTATACACTTGTATCATCGTTTTACTAATGCTGGGAAAGCTTCCGTGTAAAAAGATTTGTTAGTACGTTTAAGCCATTGTAGGACAGCCTTCTTCACTTCATTTAAGGTACTGAAATATTGACCTCCGAGAAAGTCTTTCAGGGGTCCAAATAAGTGGAAGTCATTTGGCGCTAAATCAGGACTATAAGGGAGATGTGTTAATAATTCCCAGCCGATTCCTGTATTGTTTGCATAGTGCGTTGAGCGGTATGAGGTCTGGCGTTGTCCTGCAAAAACAAAACACCCTTTGTGATCAAACCAGGCCTCTTCTTCTGCAATTTCTTATACACATCATGGAGAACCTGACAATAATATTCACCGTTGATGGTGCTACCATGGGTTAAAAAGTCAACACGAATAATTCCATCTTTTTCCCAGAAAACACTTCCCGTCACTTTGCCTGCTGAATCAATTGTTCGGAATTTCTTTGGTGGTGGAGATCCTGTATGCTTCCACTGCTTTAATGCTCTTTTCAATTCTGGAGTGAAATGGTGAACTCAGGTTTCATCACATGTGATCAAGAAAATGCTGGCCTTCCGGCTCATAACGATCCTTCAGTTCAGTACAACATCCAACTCTTCTGTGCCAGTCAAAAGTAGAAAGCTGTTTTGGTACACAGCGTACACTCACTTTTCGGAATAGCAAAGTGTCATGAAGTATTGTGTTTACCGTTCCTAACGAAATATTACACATATTCACTATTTCACGATATGTTATGCGACGATTTTCAAGGATAGCCTGTTCTACGCGCCGAATGTTCTCAGGAATGACAACTGTGGGCTGAGAACTATCACGACCAGGATTACCAGTGACAGATTCACTGGCCATCTTTGAAGCGCTTACACCATTCAAATGTCTTGCTGCAGCTGAGAGTACTTTCACCATATTGTGCTTAAAGTCTTCTGTAAATTTCAACTGATTTTACGCCCTCCTTCGTTAAAAATTTCATGACCCCACGCCGTTTCATATGCACGTCCACACTGTCATTTGCCATCTTGATTAACAGTCTCTAGAATGGAACGCGACACGGAGCGCCACCTGTTTATAAGAGATCACATTTGCCAGGTCCTACTTACACTCTGAAAATCATATATAAACCTGTAAAAGCAAATGTCCCTGATTGACCTGAACATCCCACGTACTTTGAGTAAATATACAGAATAACTAGACATTCACTTGATTCTGTTGCTATCCGGAGTATGGTCTAAAATTATACTATAATATTTGCAATTATTTTTCCCCTTTAACTCTTTCCGCCCTGTGGGCACTAAGAGGGCTATTTGCAATCGTTAATAATAACAACAATGGTCTTTCGAATTTTTCCCATCAGATAAATAAAGTTCATTTTGTACATCTTTGCTTAGATAATGCGAGAATTCTCGGACGACCTCTTATATGTTCCCTTGTATCAGATTCAAAATTTTGATAATAACTCCAAGATTTAAAAAAATATATTACCGTTGTTTGGTACAAATATTTTATCCGAACTTCCTCTCAATGCTAAAAGTTGAGGCACATAATTGAATAACAGATTAGCCTCATTAATATATCTCCTCAACGTTGCCGTTTAAATTCTAAGATTTTAGCGAATAGCGGTCTCTTTAATCAACAGATTGCAACTGATAACTATAAAAATAGCATTTGTTTCTCATTTCCTGAAAAATATCAGTGCCGGTGCACCCCTGCGTGGCGTAAAATAAAAACAATAGAGCGACAATTGACGTATTGGCATTGAAAAATTATCAAAAAAAACCAACTAAGTAAATTATTTACTTAGTTGGTTTTTTACTGTATACTGTACATTGTAATGAATAAAAATTTCAATGTAGACATTGAAATTTCTGTCTGAGACAACTGTCTCACTGCCTCACTCCTCACGCTGGTGCTTTCTTCGTGTCAATTTTTTAGTGGAAGTCTTATTCTTTGGATCAGTTGTGTAGTATTTTTTGCTTGCCAACCTCTCTTCTATACCAGGGATGGCGAACTTTTCACACGCGTGCCCAAAATGTCACGTAAGGAGAAATCATCTGCTACGTAACGTATCATACGGTTTCCATTTATCATCTGTGTTTCTCATCATCCTTTCAGTTTATCACCTGATCATCCTTTTTTCAATTAGCTTCTTTACATTTATTCTAATTACAGTATACTCGTTTCATTTCTTTAAATATACAGTAGAGCGTCGTTTATCCGAATCAATTGGGGACTGGGGTGGTTCGGATAACTTATTTTTCGGATAACGAATCATGTACGAAAAAATGTATTAATTTATCCCATATTGAAATTTCTCTCCGTTGCGTGTCGCTTCGCGTTGAATTTTCGTCGATGTTAAGCCTAACGAAGACTATTGTATCGTTAAAAATTATTTTTTTATTTTGTACAAACAAAATAAATTTATTGAAAAATATAAAAACAATAAAAAAATATACTTCAGATGTTAATTTAGTATCAAAAACGTATAATATTTGAGTAGCCCGAGAAATAGCCGAAGATTGCAGCGCCACAGCTATAGCGAAAATTTAAATTTGCCGACTGGAATGCTTTCGGATAACGGACGTTTCGGATAACCAGCTTTCGGTGTAGTTACAGTAGTGCCTCGTATAACTTACGCCTCGATAATGGACGCTGCGAACAACGGACTTTCTGTTTGGCCGTTACGTGACTCGAGCAACGGACTGGCTACGAACAACGGACTTCCCGTTCGGCAGTTACGTGAGGCGAACAACAAACTTTATGCGAACAAATGCGAATGATGTTTTCACTCTTTTGCCGTTGCCAATGACAATCTGCTATTTATAATACTAATATATTATAAAAATAGTACTATTATTATATTATTATTATTATTATTAGTATTATTAGTTAATACTAATTAGTTAATACGAAAATATTATTAGTACTGTATATCTGAAGTACAGTTGGGATTCGGCTTGCTCCCTTGTTTATTACGTACATCACCTCAGTGCAGGGTATTTACATTTATTCAAGTATTGTGCAAATCATGTCTTCTAAAAACAGAAAGGTCATTTCAATTGAAACAAGCAAGAAATCATCAGAAGGAGTGAAAGTTGACAAAAACTTCCTTGTCGAACGGAGAGAGGTTCAGGAGTTTACCAACACTCATTATCCAGAGCTAAGGCCAACAGGAGCGATGATCTCTACAATGACACCCTTGTCCGTCATTTCCGACAGGTGTTGAAGAAGAGAGAGAAACAGACCACCTTGGACATGTTTTTTAAGAAGCCAGCTGCCAAAAAAATAAAGGATGGAACAAGAAGAGTTGACCCTACAAACTCCGGTAGCCTCTCCTGAATCTGACTCCGATTAAAAATCAATAAAAAGAGACCTGCTGCAATGTGTAAAACGTCTGTATCTGTATGAATGTGTGAAGAAAGTGTTCCTCCACGTCCTCCTCACAACATCTGAATACCCAGCATAATTGGTGACTGCTCCATTTTCATTTGTTTTATGGTACAGTATGGTTATTTTATGCTGAACGAATTATATGTGTTTAAACATGTATTTCTACGGGAAAATGCGTTTCGTATAACGGACTTTTCACTTAACGGACGTGCACCTGTGTTATATTATCGTGTAACCGTGAACGAATCAAGAAAAAATGGCGGGATTAATCAACGAGAACGAACGTTTTTTATTGACCTGCACATATCCGACTTGAATTTCTAAACAAAAAAAACCACAGCTGGCGCTTGACTTAAGCGCAGCTTATAATAATAAATATGATTAATCTTAACAACCTGGAACGGATTAAGTACGTTATACGAGGCACCACTGTATCTAAATCTAAAACTTTGGTACGCATAAACTTCTTTAAAGCTAAGTATGCTTGCTATATGGCACACTGGCTCAAAAAGGTTCGCCATGCCTGTTCTATACTGTTTGTGCCAAATATCCAAAGAAATCTTCAATTGTCCGGCATTGTGGCAGATTTGACGGATTATGTTCTTACGGTACAAAAGGAATGTTTTTGGCTTTGGAAAACTTCGCGGACAAATTTGCATAGTGAAACGAAGCTGTGTCAGGCCAAAAGATGAAATCATTTTGATGAGCTTGTTAAGAAAAGGGATTATAATTTTATTTAGATATTCGTTTGGTACATGTCAGAATCAATTGCAAAGGATCCCTTCTTAAAAAATGGCTTCAAAACTTTTGCTGGTGAAATGACAGAGCAATGACTTTTGCTTCAAATTTTTTAAATCTGTACTTCACTTCAGGTGTAAGGTGCTTAATTTTCGTTGTTCGTGTAGTAAATTTAATTTCCTGGAATTTGCACGATAAAGAAAAGTACTCGTCGTCCAAAACGAAGGTTTTTCTTCCAACATTTCTTACGGGCCATCTGACCAGGGCTGTGGAGTCGGAGTCGGAGTCGAAAAAATGTGTCGACTCCCGCATTTTAAATTTACTTTAGTTGTTTTATTTAAATGAAAGAAAATTTATTATACTATATATTATATTATACTATATATTTATTAATTTTTTAAATCTGTTTGTATTCTGTTATAATTCATTTATTTTAAATACAAAATGCATCAATTTAATTTATTAAATACAGTATGTAGTATTCTTTTCGAATTCAAAATTCGTTTTAAACTCAGTCCAGATTTTTGTTTCACAACGTTGTTAATAGAATTGAAATGTTACTACTAAATGTTGTTACACTCAACATTTAGTAGTAACAATATTAAAAAACTGGAGCGAGTATAATTCAATTTAAAAATGAACAGTTAATGATTTTGTAACTTAACACTTCTGCTTAACACGGGATATTGTTCATTATGTTACAAAAACGTGATTTTCTCCACTTGTAGATACAGCCTTTAAAATTCATTTTATACAATGTAGTTTAGTACAGGCTTTGTTATTTATACTTACTAGCAATTTATAACACGAATCAAATCGCTCTCTAACTTAGTTCTTAAACATATACAGTAGAGCGTCGATTATCCGAAAGTCAATCATCCGAAAGAATTCCAGTCGGCAAATTTAAATTTTCGCCAGTGCTGTGGCGCTGCAATCTTTGGCTATGTCTTGGGCTACTCAAATATTTTACGTTTTTGATACTAAATTAACTTCTGAAGGAATTTTTTATTGTTTATATTTTTCAATATATTTATTTTGTTTGTACAAAATAAAAAAATAATTTTTAACGATACAATAGTCTTCTTTAGGCTTAACATCGACGAAAATTCAACGCGAAGCGACACGCAACGGAGAAAAATTTCAACATGGAATAAATTAATATATTTTTTCGTGCATAATCGGTTATCCGAAACACCGATCTTCCGAACAACCCGTCCCAATTGGTTCGGATAATCGACGCTCCACTGTATTTTAATATTTTCATTTATACCATCATAATGTTAATTTCGGACCGTTTCATAATTAAATCTTTATTGTTAATAGCGAACTTTAAAAGTAAATGCTATAAATACTTAATACTGTATATGCATTTTTATATTAATAAAATTATTTTTGTGATATTCTACGTATTGATAGTAAAATATAATTCCGAATAATGTGTGTCTGTATTTGTATGCCATAAACTGTGTAACGTCTCTCTCTTATAGAATGCTTTAAGGTTAAAACGTCAATAATTAAAAAATAATAGACAAAATAAAATCAAAAATTTCCATGAATAAATGGATATTCTATTTTCTATTGATGAAGACCTCACACAGGCAGACACGGAGTCATAATGGTTATCTGTCTGTACACAATATTAGGAATCATACATTCAACACAATCTCTTTTATCATTCTTATGTACATCATATCACCACCAAAAGTATTTGAAAATTAATAATAATAATGAATATACATTTTTTCAATATATAGAACATTTAAAAAGTAATACAGAAATTATACTACTAACAAATATTGTTCTTAATTAAACAATTTTTTTCTAATATCATGCAACAGAATAAGATTGTTTTAAGTTTCAATAGAAATTATTTGGGGGTAATAATTATTAAAACTTTACACAAATTCTCTAATAAAACAATTTCAAGATTTAAATGTTAATAAACATTCACACTTGAAAATAATGAATTTTACATTTCTGAAATATGTATCATTCATACAGTCATAACATTAAACTGCTAAATAAATGACAAAATAAGTATTGATTCATAAAAACTGAATCTTAAAAAGTATTTTCCATTTTAATATCAGATTTTAATATTTTCATTCCATGTTAAAAACCAAAATAATTTAAAACTTTTCTGTACTAAATCTTTTTTTCAGATTAAATGTTTGCTATGACTCTGAAAATCAAACAAATCAAAATTCCTTATTTAGTATTTTAATTTTTAACATAACTCAAAAAATATTTTTATCTTGATTGAGATCTTTCTGACTTCAAAAGATAGCATCACATAACAAAAAAAATCAGATGAATTCAATATATCTCAACTTATAAACAAATATACTTTGAAAAATATTCCATTCCATTCCTATATAAAAGTAATTATAGTTTTCATTAAGTTGATCTGACTTTTAAGTTAACACAAAAACAGTTTTACAATTCAACATATCAATTTTTCATTATGACATTTATGATTTATTATTCCTCTCTTAGAACCAAACAATTTTTTCCTGATTTATTCTATTCATTTATTCATGCAATGGTAGGCATGAGTGTGTGTATATATTCGTATATACACATATACATACAACATCCGAACCAAATTCATTCAGTCGATGTAAATTATTCACTTATACAATTATTATACAAATTCTTTTTTTTTATAAGTAACAAAAGTCATACTTTGAGCCATTTATAACTTTAAACTCAAATACTATTATCAAAATTGTTATCTTAAATTTGAACAAATTAATATATCTTAAATTGAACATCAAATTTGATTTAATGCATTTATTAACCTGAGATTTCAGAATATAAACTAAAATCCCTGAAATTAATCTCAAAAATATTCTCTGATAATTTAACTGATTTATTAATTCCAAATATTCTGATATTTAAGTGAAAATTGTTTCAATAATATTTATACACTAATATATATATATATATGTATATGACAATTATATATATTTGTACAAAATAAAATATGTTTTCTGTATATCTAATCTTAAACTTTAAGAATGAAAATAACCATTAGAAGAATGACAAATTATTTCAGAAATAGCAAATATGTCAAACAATTATACTGAATTTACATTAGATATTAATGAAAATATCACATGATAGAAGATAAGAAACTAACCAAAGTGGAATATCTCATAACGATATCATCAGAAATAACAAAGTTACATTGTTTTTCTTTTTTTTTTTCTTTTTTAAATTTCACCTTGTATTTCAACAACAAATATAGCATGTATTCTAAAAGGTCATAAATGATCAGTATCACATTGATACAACATTAACAACAATATTTTATTACAGAATAAGAAGAAGACAAGTTCATATAAGGCAACAATTGCAAGAAATATGACTAATATATCTGTAACAGATTTTTAGCACAAATATATCACATCTACTTATTTTTGTTCAGTTATATTCACCTGACATGGTGACATTTTGTATTAGCACAAGATAATATCAAAAATGTGAACTGGATAGTTAGCTGAAACAGTATGACGACTTTGTAAAGAAAAATATGAAAATTTTATTTTTGAAAACTTCACTTCTATTTTATATATTGGTCAAATAAAAGCATTCTTATTTCAAAAACTTGGACCATGAATTCACGACACAGTGAGATTTAGTTTGGATACTTTGGAGTAGGAAAAAACAACTGTATTTGTAATTAAAAAAATGAAGAAAATAAAATTAAATAAAAAAACTGGATTTATTACATAAAAACAAAGTAAAAACTGATTAATTCATTTTTATTCATTAATATTTAAAATTTAATTCTGTAAAAATCTGAGTAACTTGCTTTAAATTTTGGTTTATTTTCTAAATAGTAAAATGTAAGTAGTTTCCTTCATCATTTAAAATTTGAAAGTATGAAAGGTTTTTAAATTTTGTTTAATGTACTAAAATATTAATGAAATATCAATTTTATTCCATCAATTATGTTTTTTAAATTTTATTAAATAGATTTTATTTTATAAAATACACTAATTCTAATTAAAAAACAAAATTTAATAAAAAAAAATTAATTTTCCTACGAATATACCCTGTATGTAAATATATGCTAAAGGCAAGACAAGAAATTCTAATAAACAACAAAGCTTCTACTTCTATTTGCAGTTCTGGTCATGAAGTACAGATTGAAATTAGTTCACTAATTACATATGAATTATTTAACCACTTACAAATCTACCACAAATAAAGGAAAATAATTTCAAAATTATACTCAAATTCAAATTTTAAAACAATTTAGAAAAAAAAATTAACCATTTATTTCTACCACAGAAAAAAATTATATTGTATGAATATGAACAAAGAACGAACACAAATTACCAAAAAGCAATATTTCGTATTAAAATGACAATGTAACATCATAACACTGACATATTTGACAAGTGACATGTTATAGTGCAGCAAGAGACAGTAGAAAATAATGAAATAAAACCTTGGAAAATGTTTTATAAATGTGACAATTCCTTATCAAAATATGATATACTGTATAAGATATAGGGATTCTGATATTTTTAAGTAACTCTCTTAATTTTGGTCAAGATTACTCTCATACTATGTGCTTTAATTACATTATAATTAGTTATTTTCAAGAATAACTTTTCCTAATGTTTTCTTCTATAAAATGTAAATTTCTAAACACAATTTAAAGAAAAAAATTCAAAACCAAAATAATTTTTAATTCACAAATGGCTTAAACCATTAAAAATTATTACAAATATATATATATATATAGCATTACCAACATCTGAAATGGATTTTGCCGACCTTTAAGAAAACTGTACACAACAATAATGCACTTATAGAACAATCCAAGTAAAATCAAACTAAAATAAGTATTTTTATTGAAAACACAATTATTAAAATCCAAATATGAATTTGTTAAATAAATCATTTTCTTATCAAAGATTGTTAACAGACAATCAAAACTTGAAACCTACACTAGAAATCTAATTTGTTAAAAACATGATCACAAACAAATTCTTTTTAAGGAAACAGAAAATTTATTTAATAATCATAAAGTTTCATTTCTTCAATTACAAATCAATGAATAGTTAATTATATTTCTATTTAATTCTATTTTAGAATATATTTATAAAAAAAGTAGTTTTCAGTAAAACATTTTAAATTCATAAATAACTATTATCCAGAATAAACAACACTGGTATAGTTATTCAGAAACAAGGACGTTTGAATAATGCTTATTTCTATAACTCCTATTTCATTTGGCTTTTGTTTATAAAGTTGAAATTCTGTTTAGATGTGAAGAAAGTAAACTGGTGAATTTTACTAGACATTTTAATGATGTGTGACAATTAACGCACAAGACAATCTTCTATTTGTTAACAAAGAGATGGTTTTTGGAAAACTTTGAAACTTTTATGGAGTCATTTCCTCAGTGGATGGTTCACCATTCTGTAGTAAAGGTGATGATGTAATTGATGGCAGATGTCCAAAATGAGTTGAATTCTGAAAAATAAGATTTTTGTTGCATTAACCAAAAAACATTTTAAATTAATTTTTATTCATAACAATAACCTCTGTAAATTTAAAGATATTTTTCAAATTGCAAAACTCAAAAAAAAAAACTAACAAAAAATAATAACTAATTCTTTCATTAGTCTAAAATAAAGTAACACTTAATTAATAGTTTCTAATTTCATCAGAAAAGAAAGCTATCAATTTCATTTTTATAAGAAACAGCAAAAAACAATAAAATTTATGAAAAATTGCATTGACACTTGTTCTTAAGTATTTGTACATGTAAAATACATATATACAGTTAAACTTCCATATTACGAACTTCTATATAGCAAATTTCTCTGTATAACAAACTTTTGCATTCTACACTGATCTTTCAGCCAAAAATATAAGTAAAATTGCTTCTAAATAACAAAGTGAAATGTCTATATAACAAATTTTTTTTTAATTTGTAAGGACTATTGATCCTTAAAAGTTGATTATTCCATCTGGGTTGTGTTTGAATTTAAATTCAATTTCAGGTATCAATCTATAAAAACTGTGGCCTAGGGGTATGAAATACTGGTTGTTAGCTTTTAAAACTATTATGTAATCTGCCCCCATAGAACTACTGGTCATAAAGAAGGGGGAGAGATATTATCTGTCAACAAGGGCATTTTGACCTAAATGATTTACAATTAACAAATGTTTTTGAGTTATAGTATTACAGTACTGTATAGTATTTACAATATTTATGTATTAGAATAAATAAATTTAGTATGTATTATACAGTATTTCTTAGTAATATTTGTAACTTATAGTTAACATGTTTTATTGGAAAAAATTACTGTACTGTATAAATTTTTGGACAATCTGAGAAGCATCCCTATTCATTTCATAATACAGTGGGTGATCGGTTAACGAACAGATCAGTTAACAAACAAATCGGATAATGAACACTTTTGCGAAAGATTTTTATGATTGGACAACGAACACATGTTCAGATAATGAACACTTCACTGAACAAACACGAAGAAGCGATGTAAAATAACTAATACTGATTGGTCTTCCTTTGTCTTCAGGCAACAATTAAACTTTTTGGAGCGTGGGAGACGTCGACATCGACATTCTATCTAGTATATACTGATTGGATAGTATTCCCCCAAACTTTGAAACTCTCCATTGTAATTCCAACCTTTTGTATTTCTGACAGGAACAATTCTTTTACATTTTCTTCTAAAAATGTGAATTTATGCTGATATCTGCTATTAAAGATCTTTTGAAGAAGTGGGAAGATATCAGAACAACAGTCTTAAAATGGCATCCAAAACAAGTTGAGATTAATAGGCTTAGGGATCTCTACAATTACAATGAGATTAATTACTTCTGAAAAATCATGAAGAAGACAGAAAAGCAATCGACATTGGACAGATTCTTTAACCCCCACAAACAGAAAAAACATGACTAATAAAAATGCAAGACCGTGTATATAGGTATTTTTATTATTACATATAACTAAACGTAGTAAGAAAGTATAGACTATATTTTTTATTTTTTGGGGGTCTCCAGAACGAATTAATCAAATTTCATAGAAACCTATGGTAAATCGATAATCGGTTAATGAACTATTCAGATAGCAAACAAAGTCTTGGAACAGATTATGTTCGTTAACTGATCACCCACTGTATAGTATTGTACTATACAGTATGATGGATTAATTTTGCACTAATTTTGTTTATGCTGCATCTTTTGGGAACACATCCATCATAAAATCAGGGCAGCCTATACAATGAATATGGATATCAGTGACATTTTTTATTTTGTTCAGTACAGTATTTATACCAAGAAAACAGTCTTACTTGTGCAGGTTGCTGAGATGAGTCACATCTAAATCATTTTACAGTGTTGAATACTATGTAAAGTTCAATGGAACACTCCTACATTTGTCTATGAGTATTCTCACAAAATTGAATTACAGCAGCATTTAAAATTGAAAAGTTGTATTTCATCGCTCTATTGTAACTTCAGGTTTGAGAGCAGAGAGTTCTATACTATAGAATAAAATGTCAAAGTGAAAGTGTTTAAGCATTACTGAAAAAAAATTAGTGTGTTGCAGAAAGGATAAAGGCTAAAAAAAAAAAACATTGAGGCAAAGTTTGGAATTCCTGTGAGTAGTTTATCAATCATAATAAAAAAATTGCAAATCAATTTTGAAATTAGCCAATGATGCAATCCCTACAGCAAAACATGCTAGAACCTGTGTTTATGTTGATATAGATGAAGCAGGTTTAAAATGAATACATTTAATTTGTGATAAGAATGTACATTATCAGGATCACTAATTAAACAAAAAGGTTTTAAAGTTTGCAGAATCACTTGGTTATATATATTTCCAGGTAAGTACTGGTTGGCTTAATAAATTTTTAAAAAGGCATGAGTTTAAAAGCATGACATTGTTGAAAAAATAAAATTGTGGTGAAACTGCAATTATTAATGAAGAGGACTGCAATCAATGGCAGATTGAAACACTGAAATGGAGTTTGGAGAAGTACAAGCCAAAGGACATTTTCAACACAAATGAATCTGGTTTATTCCTTAACTGTACACCCAACAGAACACTCCCTTTTAAAACTGATTGATGCTTTGGTAGAAAGCAGAGAAAAGAAACGATCACTGTATTAATTGGAGCAAATGACAAAAAGTAAAAAGTTGAAACTTTTAGTAATCAGAAAAAGCAAAAATCTATGATGTTTTAAAGGAATGAAGTCTCTTGAAGTGGATTATCATTTTAATAATCCATTTCAAGAGACATTCTAGCCAGATTTTTCAAGATTGGTTATTAAAATTAGACAAACAAATGACAAAAAAAATTACATTAGTTGTAGATAACTGTCCAACACATCCTTCTGCATTCACAAGAAGGCTTAAAAGTAGAGTTGTTCTTTTTCCCTACAAATTTAACATATAAACTTCAGCCAATGGATCTAGACATAATCAAAAACCTTAAATTCATTATCATAAGAGAGTTTTAATAATGATGATTAATGGAGTTGAAACAATATGCTGACAAAATTAATTTAAAAGAATGCATTTCTGAGCTATCAAAATTGTGGATTCACAAAGTAACTGATATCAATATAAAAAATTGTTTTCCAAAACAGAATTTAATAAAAACTCTGGTGAATGAGATGAAGCTAATGAATTACCTACCACTTTTGGATTAACAAAAATCATGGGAAGCATTACGCCAATTCAATAAAATTATGAACAATGTTACACTGGACAATTATCACAATATTAACAAAGATGTCATTACACTAACTATCCTACTGATTAAGAAATTTTGGAAACCTTAAAAAGTAACCAAACAATCCAAGATGAGGAAGAAGGTGATAGTGAGGAGCCAAAAATAAAGAAAATAAAACCAACAAATGACAAAATGATAAAAGCATTTCAAATTATTCATAGTGAACTGCAACATTATGAAAATGTGCCCAGAAGTATTTTTCATAAAGCATTAAGAGTGAAGCATATTATGAAGAGCAAACATATTTTAATTGCTTTGTGCAACAAAAAATTACAACTTTTTTTTTACAAAAATGTAGTTAAACTAACTTTTGAACATATAATGTAAACTTACTTAAAATTAAAATTATATTTATTTTAATTTAAATTATATAAAATAACAAAAAATTATCTTAAAATATATAAAAACATCCACACACACTGTAAAACATATGACTTACTTCTAACTCCAAACCAAAACAGTGCTTAATTCAATATAACTTCTTTCACTAATGTTTTCGAACTTACAGTTCTTCTTCAGGTGAAAAAATGGACAAAATTGATGGTATTTGAATATGGTCCAAAATTTGCACCACCGCCACCCCAACCAGAACTCTGAGTTATATCCCTGACATGGAGGCCCTAATACAAGGCCTCCCAGATAGGACCAAAGAATATTATAGATGGTTGGCTGTGCAAAAAATAATAAAGGCAAAAAATGCCGTGGATTCAAAGAAATTAAGAACAAAAATATCAAAAGCCCATGGATGGATGAAGGCAAATGAAATCACTCTAATTAGAGTGGACAAACCTAAAACCATGGTAATTATGAAGCAGCAGACATACGAGAAATTGCTAGTGGATTACATCAATCTCACTCAATGTGAGAAGATCAGCAATAACAATGTGAAAAACTACATGCTAGAATAAACAGATTCTCCAATACCAAGTTAGCAAAGTTGGATATTAAGAACATTGTTTTAGACTCTCCTGACAAGTCCAAATTATTTGGGTTTGCCAAAATGCATAAAGAAAACAAACAGATTCGCCCAGTAGTAGATAAAATTTGTGCTCCAAAGCGCAAACTTGAAGAGAGAATGCACAATATAATAGCACCATATTTGGAGGAATACCAGTTCAATATATCCAATAGTGTTGACCTCATAGCTCTCCTCAAGCAGATTAATACCCCCCACAGTACCTCAGTGTGCTTGATTTTAAATCCCTATACCCTTCTATACTCCTTTTGCCAACCTTCTGTGCCTTAAGAGATTTGTTACTAAATATAATAGAAGACAGTAACCATCATCAAGAAATATTATTTTGTACATTTATTGTGCTATAATTCTTTCTTTCAATTCAAAGGCACTGTGAGAATACAGATGAGGGATCAGTGCTCTCTAATCATCAGATCTGAGAGATCCGCTCACTTTGTCACTGGATGGCTTAATGTTAAAGGAATTTCACGTGGATGGTTGTGGGGCTGTGCAATGAGATGTCGCAATAATAGAGGCGGCTATTAATAAATGCAAAAATCAACAATTTAATAAAGTAAAACAGACAAATAAGATACAAAATGAATATATATTGGACCTAAGTTCCTTATGTTGCGAGAGAGAGTTTACAATAAATTCATATTACCTCGTTGGACATTTTGGTGGAGCTGGTTAGTTGTAGAAAAGAGCAGGATGCTGGACTTTGTTAGCTGGATGAGTAGCAGGAGG